AAATGCCAGTTAGTTATTTTAGGAAGTAGATAAGAAGCTTAAAAAACATTTCCACCAAGATGAATGATGAGCATTTTAATTTAAAATTACAAGTCTGCTGGAATTTCACTTACTATATTTCAGCTTTATTTACTGGACAAAGAGACAAAAAAATGGAGTGGTAATCCCATAATTCTTTTCTTACCACATCTTTTAGTATTTCTATGAAAAGTATGTTAAAATAATCATTGCTTGTGATACAAAAGAATTGAATTATTAATAAAAGAAAGGCTAGGAAATAAAACTACCAAGGCCAAAAGGAGAAAATAGCTGGGCTTCTGCATGGGGCGAGGCAGGTGAGAGCACTCCTCTGGCTGCCTGGCCAGCAGGTGGCACAGCCCCCCAACCTGTCAGTGCCACCGCCCCTTGAACACCACCTCTGAGCTCTGGTAGGTCAGCAGCTTCTTCATCTGATTAGTTTCAGGAAAGTTTTAGCTAAGGGTCCCTCCCCTCCCCTCTTACTTCCTTATCTCCCTTCTTTTGTCCTTCCTTCCTTTCTTCTCCCTCCCACCCCCAATTTACTGGAGGAATGAATGCTTTCAGGGAGATTGAATTAAAAATCTTTACTGTGAGTCTCTCCCAAGGGCAGGGATTACAATCGCTCCTTCGGGGACAGAGAGCATGTAATTAATCCAGGTTCCTGGAAAGGAAGTCAATTTTGGAATGCACCTAGAGAAAGAACGGGTGACATGCGATGCAAATCTACTCTCTACCATGTCATTTTTCCCTCCCCGACTTTATTGAGGTATAGTTAACGATTATAAATTGTATATATTTAAGGTGTACAAGGACCGGGGGTGGGGAATGGAGAAATGTTAGTCAAGGGGTACAAAGTGTCAGTCTTTTTTTAAAGTCTTAGTTAATAAAAACAGGCTAGTCTGGAAAAGACAGGCATCACGTAGATGGTGAAGCAGAGGTGTGAGAGTTAAACCTTAGCTACTGGAAAATTATTTCTGTAAGTTAAACATAGCCCACTTTCAACAGTCTTATACATGTATTTTCCCCCTAAGCTTTAAAAATTAAAGTAGAACATACAAAGTGGCTGTTTGGACCACAACTCTCTCCCTCCACCTTAAAGTAACCACTATTCTGACTGCTAACAGCATAGAGTAGTTTTGTCTCTTGTTTAAATAAATGAAATAATAGAATACATGTCTTTTTTGAGATTGCCTTGTTTTGCTCAAATTATGTTTGTAAGCAGTGTTCCAGCTGTGCAGGAACTGGAGTTTTCTCATGTCATGAGAGGGCAAACATTCCTTCTGCAAGGTACAAGTACATCTATTGCCTGGGCATGAATTAATCATATGCTATTTTCTTTTATAGCTGGAGAAGAAGGATGAATGTGGTAGTTACCCAGGGTCATGAAGGGAATAATGGAAAGTCTGGGAGGAAAACTATAGAAGGGGCACATTGCTCTAAAGACTGATTTTGCTTAGAGATTAGTGTTTCTAAGATAAGACTTGGTGTCAAATATCTTTAGGAATTTGTGGGTCAATCTAACGTCTAGAACCTTGGCCATATCAACAGTAAAATGTCCTCCTTTCTTCCTTCCCTGTATTAAATATACTCTTTGTTAAATGTGTATTAAATGTACCCTGTATTAAATGTGTTCTGGGCTTTTTAGCAGAGTTGCTAAAGTCTTCCTGGACGGATGATTTCATTGAAATATCCAACACACACACTATTAAATCTACTACAACCTTAGACAGGTATGATGACTATCTCCATAAGAAACTACTTCATTAACCAAGAATAGATTGCAAATCTATTACAAAATGTTTTAAAGGCAATAAGAAACCCTTGGGCTCTCAGCTTTGCATAAATATGTAAGATGTGGTTTTCAGACTCTGAAGGAAACAAGTACTCTGCAAGCAGTGACAGATGTGGGAAGTATTCAGGCTTTCAGCGCATAGTGCAGGAAGGCACAATTCACTTCTGTTTAAATGCCTCGCCCTTCAAAGAGATGCCCTAGTGGCCAGAGGGTTCTCCACAGAGGTAAGATTGAGACATCAAGATTTGCAAGGGGTAAACAGGTATTTGGGACGAAACTAACATCTCTACTGAGACAGGTCAGATCCTGGATACAAGCAAAAAAAAAAAAAAAAAAAAAAAAAAAATGAAGGGGGTAGTTGGAGAGAGGGGAGGAGAAAGGGGAAGCTCAGCTAGAACAAATCCATGAGAAAATAATAGGGAAGGTTTTGAATAGAAAAAGAATGAGTAGACAGTTAGGGAGAGGAGAATCAGGGCCCAGGATATTTGATTTTGAAATCATAAGATCCTATTCAAAATGCTTTATTTAATCAGATCTCAGTATTTTTACTTGTGAAATGGAAAAAGTAAAACCAATATGCTTTCATTACTTGCAAATGATGTATTTATCTCTATGCATTTGTCTTCTTGCCTAATTACATCAGATTTTCTCTCTCCAAATTAGCAGTGGGACTTACCTCACTATCAATTTCAGTGATTGTTCTTATACAGGAGCCCAAACTGTTCTCAAGTAAATAAGGAGTTCAGTTCACTGAATCTGACTTTCGGCAACCCACCGAGTTCTGACCTGGGAACAGGCCCTCACACAGGCCTCATTAGTCCTCGGTTCAGTTTGTCTTCCTGCTTTCATTAAAGGTAAGAGGACCTTTTTGATGCTAGGAATATGACAGGTGGGTATCCGCCAACCCCAGAGGCCCATGGTTTAGGAAGCACATTCACTGATAGAAAATCTGATCTCCAAAGAATGCCTTTGTAGTCAGGGAGGATTATTTATAGCTTCTGACACAGAAGGTTTCAAGCATAGAGCGAACATCACTATTAACACTAACTCAAACGAGCTCTACAGGAAAGAGAACTATAAAGTCTTGGCTTTTTTTTTTTCTAGGTCATCATTGGTTCTCTTCTCTGATTGCAGGGCCTTCCGCCTCTGATTTTTTTTTTTTCCAAAAGAAATGGTGGTCCAATGTCTCTGAAGCAATACAGACCCTGCTTTTCAGAGTCTTGTGGGTACCCAGACTCCTGCTTCATGGATGTAAATTCATCCTCTTCCACACTTTTAAGCCCCTTCCTCTTCAGACTTCACTTACCCCATCCAGCTGTATTTCCAGGAGCCCATTAGAAAACTCTTTATTAGTTGGACTAGTTTGCCTACATCTCATGTGTGTACTTCGCTCAGTCTTTTTTCATACTGTGTCCCCGCCGGAAACTCTCCCTCACTGAATCCCACCCTGTCAAACCTTTAGCCCCACAGCTAGCTCCATTTTTCTCCATGAAGCTTTTTCTGAATACCTAGCCCTCAAGGAGATCCCTTCTCTCCTCTGAATAACAGTTAGGGCTATTTTATATAATGTAGTGTGGGTTAACCGTATTGTATTATCTCTTCTTTTGTATGCATTAGTTATTCCAGACTATTTGGGTTAGGGATCAAGTCTACCCAGAATGGCAGTTGGGGCTCATTTTTCCAATTTGTCTCTCAGAGGAGGTTCTCTCTGCTAATTCACACGAAGGCACAGTATAAGCCAGCTTCAGCCCTCTCCTTCCCGTGTAATCAATTTCAGGCATGTGCAGACCAACCCAGCTGCCATGGACAGATACCAGAGTGTCCCCTGAGGGGAAAAATAATCTTCCTAGAGCCTCATGAGTGACATCATTTATCAAATTCTCTCTTTCAAGACACCATCCTTTTGTACATGCCAAAAGTGGACAAAGCCTTCCGGATAAAGCAGAACACAAGGAAGTGAAGAAAAAGCTACCAAATTCAACTTCTGAGTCAGATGGCTCAGCAACACTTGTGAAAAATCCTAGAAATACAATCAAATATACAGTTTGAGACTAGGAAGACATAAAGGCCAGGTGAGCTGGCTGAGGAAATTGCAGGTAATTCAGAGGGGAAAATAGCAATTGGGAGGCAGTGATTGCTTCCCATACAAACTGTACCAAGTCTAGCACTGAGGTAACAGAGTAAAGACCTGAAAGGGCAAAGATATAAATTGTGCACCTTGGGGCACACAGATTTCCCCTCTTTGCCTAAAAGGAGTTTCTGTCTTTGGTCTTTTAATAAGTCATGTTTATTGTTGGGAAGGACCACCTGAGAGGAAGGGGTGGTAGTCCCAACCCACCATTTAGTATTAGCCTTGTTATCTGGGGAGTCCTTTATCTAGTTCTCCTGTGCAACATGGAGATCATACCCCCACTCTTACTCATTTGTTCGTCCCTCCATTCATCCATTCACCAGATATTTATTAATGTCCCACTGTGGGCTAAGCATGAAGGACCACAAATGGTTAAGCAAAACAGACATGGTTTTCACCATTATGCACAGTACAGATCATCTCATGGGGTCGTTAGTTACAAAGGAGAAGGAAAGTGTCTTTGGACTGTAAAGAACCTTAATATGGAAGGTCTTCTTCATTATCAATGGCTTCTACTCAGGATCTAGCTGTGTGACCTGGGCAAGTCATATTTCTTCTGGGCTTTCCTATTCTCATCTGTGAAATGAGAAAAGTTCCTGTCCTAAAACGTAAGTATTCCAAATGCATATGAAGAAGTTCAGGTTTTTAGGTACTTCTAAATCATGGCTCTCTAAAAGATTCTTATGAAGCATTTCAGATGTACAAAAGGATAAGAAAAATGTAATGACCTCTTTCGTACCAACTACTTGACATAAGAGAAATGTTACAAGGAGATCTATTGGTGGCAGCCTCCTTGTCCCCAGAGGAAAGAAAATGTAATGAGTTTGATAGTTATTTTTCTGAATCATGGCCTTTCTAGGAAACCTGGTGTGTGAGTAAGAATGGTTCATCACTTAGGTGATCCTGGTACTTGATTAACGAGGAGTTGTGACAGTGTTTGTCAGAGAAAGCTCAAGTGCCAACCTGTTCCCTCCCTGCCCACCCAGCAGACAGAATCAGGAAAACCATGTGGCAGGCATTACCTCCTGCATTTAGAAGGTACCTAGTTTTTGCATTTACCTTGAGGGCCTTCTGTGCAGACTCACTGGACCCAATTGCAATGAGGTTAGGCCCAGCCATGCTGCAGAAACTCTTCAAATGCAAAGTATCAGCCACTGGGACTGTGGAGACCGCATAGTCCTATGCAAATAATAGAAACAAGCAGTTTGGCATTGCAGAATCATTCTAAAACATATTTAAACCTGCCTGAATCATGCGTGCTCCTCTGGATGCTGCCAGAACCTGCATATCTGCAAGGAAAACTGGGATCTGTAGGTTTTGGTATTGCCAGATAAATGAAGACTGCTTCTAAAAGGAAGAGCTGTCCTCCAGATGTGTGATTGTTGATCTATGGGGTGGGCTACTCTGAAAGGATGTGGCTAAATATCCTGTGCAAACTAGAGCCTCCCATCTTCATGGGGAACAGAGCTTCATGGGGCTTCTATCCCTTCCTTAGTGATCAACAGAGTAAAGAGGACTTGAGAGGATGTCTGTGCAACACCCAGCACAGTTTCCAGCACATAGTAGGCGACAAAATACAGGTAATCCTTGATTCCAATCTGAAAATCCACACTTTAGGTTAAAGTCTATTGAGTCTCCTGATTTTTTTTTTAAGTCATCAATTGTGCCATGAACATTTGTGGTTGTATGATTATATATTAGGAGAAAACAGATGTCAGTGATAACTTTGTTGCTGCCGTGGTAGCCCAATACCACCTATTTATTGAGACATGTTATTTGATAGCTTCTAAAACATCTAACAAACATACAAATGTTAGGAATTAGTTTGCAAAGCTGGTGACATATAAATACCATTATTCATGACCTACAGACACAGTGGGTCTATGAACACATATTAATTACTCTGTGCCTGGCATAAATTAACTTTCACTTACCTTAAAAGTATCAGCCAAAATTTCAGCACCTCGTTGATTTGTCCTTTTGGAAAGACCCACAAAAAATTCTCTGCCTATAATAAATGTCATGGAACATAGTGAGTAGGTGGCACCAGTGGCGGCACACTATTTCTTTACCTATAAATAATGACCTTAAAGCATCACGCAGGTCTTTCCTGCCTTAGAGGGCAGGTGTACTTTCACTCTGACCTCAGCTCTTCTTACACAAATCTAATCGTAAACCATTACTCTTAGAAATCAACCCTTTCAAATTTATTGAAATGGGAAGTACAACAGTGGTTGCCAGGTAATGGGGAGAAGAGGAACCGGGGAGCCAGTGTTCCCTGGATGTGAAGTGTCAGTTTGGGGAAGATTTGAAAAAGGGCTGGGGAGGGAGGGCGGCGACGGATGAATGTAGTCTGCCTCCGAGCTTTGTACTTAAAAATTGTTAAGTGGTAGATTCCACTTTATCTATATTTTACCATAATAATAGAATTAAGTTTTTACTTAGGAAACAATAGAATTAAACACATTAATAATCTGCAATCTGAAATTAAGTAATAACAATGGCAAGTTAGTAGTGCTTCCTCTTTCTTTTCCAAAAAGACAACCCTAGATATTTTTAATGAAGTTGAATTCCTTTCCTTATGACAGTAAAATAAGGGCTGAAGAAACCATCTGGATATAAAGTGAGTTTTGTGCTGATTGGTCTTCATTTCTGACTCTGAGAACTGTCTTTAAAAAAAACCACAACTATATATCCATTTATTTTAAACAAAATCATCAAAGATGCTTATCTACAAATACTAAAGTTTAGGAAAATAGAACTTTTTTTTTTTTATTTGGCTGTTCTGAAATTCTATAATTTTTCTTCTCTGGAAACAAAACACTAAATAAAAATTGTTTCCTAGTTATAGACAAACAAACAATTATAGTAGATAGAGTTATGTAATACATAAGTGTAGGGATTTTTATCCTCCCTTAATTCTTTGAAAAAAGAATTCTGCATGAAAGGAGAAAAAATATTAAAAGAGAAATTTTTTTTTTGCCCCAGAACAGTAGGATAAAGTATTAGAAGAGTAGCCATGTAGAAAAAAACTGCTTGGCAAATTTTACAAGTGCTGCAACTTGAATTTTCATGATGTCTTTATAAAAGGGGTAAAAAACATAGGTGAAATGATATTATGATAAATTTCAATGGCTTGTGCTGTTGGCAGACACAGGAGTCTTTGGAGGCAGATTGACGTTTTTGGGGTAATGGTGTGATTGTGTTTTCTCTTGAGAAAATTCACTGCATACAAATGAAAACTTAAATATGGGAAAGGTCTTTTGCTTGACAAAAGTACGACTCCGTTTATTAAAAAAGTTAGCTACAATGAAAAAAAACCATTAAATTTCCTTAATTAAGATAAGACTAGATTTATAAATTATACTTAAATTATAAAGAAAAACATTGCATGCATTAAGAAAATTTAAATACTTTTATAATAGGGCTTGCACACTATTCACATTTTCAAAGACTAAGTAAGGCAAGATAGAGAAGTGAAAAGAAAAGCAAACTGCTTATCTCTAAAAAGTAAGTTAGACTTCTGTATCTTTTTTTTTTTCCTTTATTTTTATTGTTGACACCAGGACAGAGGTTCCCATCCCTCCCCCTTCTGCCGCCTCCACCCAGCTCCCAAGCCCCTTCCCTCTGGCCACCACCACACCGTTGTCTGTGTCTATGAGTTATGCATGTATGTTCTTTGGCTAATCCCTTCTGTTTCTTCTGTATAGTGGACTAGATCTCCTAAATGGCTTTCTGGTGAAATGAACCGATAAAAAGTACTGAAATTGAAATATTTAAAAAATTGTTTTTGTTGTATTTTTTTAATGTCATTTTCTTCTACCAGTTCACCCTCAGTTTATTTTCCTCCCTCATATCATCCTTTTACAGGAGAAACCAGGTCATTGGACCTATTGACTATCCTACATTCCACATTTGGCCGATTGCTTCCCTGTGTGTGTGTATCATCTATCATTAAATTCTTCCTTTATGCTTGGAATTTTTGGTAAACAAACGGTTTTATGGAGATACTTAATTAGATTCTTGTTCAATGTTTTTTTTTTTATTGGACTACTTCAGATATGGGGCTATGCTTCCGTTGCATCATATCAGGAGGCACACAGCTGGCTCACATTTTCAGTGATGCTAGATGACCAGTGGGTTCAGGTGGTGTCAGCCTGATTGTTCCATTATGAAGATCCCCATCAAATTTTCATAGAAAGGTTTTAACATCCTCTGATAATCATTGAACAGATCCATTATTTTATTAGGGATCTATACTTACTGGAGAGAATTATAAAGAAAAGCTTTCCTCAATCAAGTATTTGGTCTACTTGAAATAGAAATTTTAAAGGAAAGATAAGCTTAAAGTAAAGATAAGACATGTTTGAGTCTTTGTCCCAGCAATTTAAAATAATGACCAATATGTTTTTTAAAAAAACATTTTTATCCACTGATGAGTCAAAGAATAAATTATAATGGAAATTAAAGAAAACATTTGGAAGTAATGATAACAAAAATATTACTCTCAAAACATGAAAGATGGAGCTAAACCTGCTAAACTTGGAGGGAAAGTTACATAGCTTTACATGTTTACCCTAAGATGAGAAAAGGTCCAAAATTAAAGAGACATAATTCCAACTTGAAATGTAAGACAAAAGAGCAAAATTTAAAAAAAATTAAAGGAAGGAAGGAAGTAAAGGTAGCAAAACAATAGAAAGAAACATATGTGAGAGAGGGCTCAATGAAGCAAAAAGTTGGTTTAAAAAAATTTAAACCAACATGTTTCTGGAAAGAAAAGAGAAGTCAAATAAACATCATGAAATTAAATGAAGACATGACTGTCATTGTTGTGAGGCTTAAAATGGATATGTAGACGATGTGAATAACTTTTTACCCAACATTTGAAAACTTAGATAAAAGAGATAAAATCTCAGAAAACAGAACTCACCAAAACTTACTAAGAAAAACCTCATTAATCTTACAATCATTAAAGAAACAATATGAGTTCAAAAAGCTCCCCACAAAGAAGGCACCAGCCCACAGGGCCTTTTTACTGGTAAGTTATGTCACAGCTCAAGGAACGCCCAATTAAAAAGTACTGACTCTACAGAACAGAAACATAGGAAATATTCCCTAATATATTTTAATGAGATTAACATAACTCTTTTACCAAAGCCAGACAAGGATAACAAGAAAGAAAAATTATAGGTCTCAGAAACAAAAGTCTTAAAATATTAGCAAAATAAATCCAATACTGTAGTAAAAAGAGATGTATCATGACCAAGTTTGTTTCCATTTCAGGGATGCAAGACTGGTCAGATATCAGAAAATCAATTAATTTAATTAACCACATCAATAGATTAAAGAAGAAAATCATATGACACTGAAGCAAAAAAAAAAGGAGTTTTGCACCTGAAATTCTATTTCTAGCTGTTTAGAGAAACTCTTATCCATGTCTCTGGGAGACAAACACAAGAATGTACATAGCAGCATTGAAGATAATAGACAAAAACTGGAAAAAAAGTCAAGTGTACATCAGTAGTACAATGAACATACACATCATGATCTATGTACCACAAAATACCACACAACAGTAAAAATGAACTACACACATTAAATTAGCTCAAAAGCAGAAAAATCACACATATAATTTAGGAATGCATGTATTGAGGTAAAACTCAAAGACAGACAGGTAGCACTTAACACAAAATTCAGGCCAGTGGTTACCTCAGGCTGGGAGGAGAGAGAGGCTGGGACGGGGGGCCCCGTGGTTAGGCAATGTTGTATGTCTTAAGCAAGGTGGTAGGCACCCAGGTGTTCATTTTATTATTGGTCTTTAAACTGTGCATAAACATTTTATAACTCTTTTTATATGTTCCTAATTTCACAAAAATAAATAAGTAAAAGTAGAAGTAAGTTGATGTTGTCCAGTTAAGGGAAGTAGGTCTGAAACAATTTCTGCCAGCAGCAGTTCACCGGACTGACAGGTTCCCCAGTGGGGCTGCAGCTGGTGAGCAGCTTTCCTTCTGCCCGTCCTGATCAGTTGTTAATGAAACTCTGAGTTACAGAAGGGAGAGGACACAGAGCACATGAATGCTCCGCGGACTTTGTTTCTTACCCGACTCTGCCTAATTCAAAATTTCAGTGGTGATGGTTGTACAATATTGTGAAAGTGATGAATGCCACTTGAAATGTATAAGTAAAACAGTTAAAATGGCAAATTTTATGTGATATATATTTTACCACAACTTTTAAGAAGGAAAAAAAATTGTCTTCCTTAACTTCTTTCTTCCGTGTTGTGTAGTTTTCTGAGTACAGGTCTTTTACCTCCTTGGTTAAGTTTATTCTTAGATACTTTACTTTTCTTGTTGCTATAGCAAATGGAATTTTTTTCCTGATTTCTGATTCTGATATTTCATTGTTGGTGTACAAAAATGCCTTTGATTTCTGAATATTGACTTTGTATCCCACTGTTTTGCAAAATATACTTATCAGGTTGAGTGGTTTTTTTGGTGGAGTCCATAGGGTTTTCTATGTACGCTATCATGTCATCAAAAATAAACTCAAAATGGATAAAAGACTTACATATAAGACACAACACCATAAAAGTCCTAGAGTCCTGATAAAATATATATCACATAAAATTTGCCATTTTAACTGTTTTAATTATACATTTCAAGTGACATTAATCACTTTCACAATAGGCAGGAAACTCTCAGATGTACTGTGCAACAATATTTTCACCAATATGTCCCCTACAGGAAGGGACATAGAGGAAAGAATAAACAAATGGGACTTCATCATAAAAAAGAAGCTTCTGCACGGCTAAAGAAAACATCAGCAAAATGAAAAGGGAACCGACCATATGGGAAAATATATTTGCCAATGATACCTCGGACAAGGGTTTGATCTCTAAAATATATAAAGAAATCACATGACTCCACTCCAGGAAGACAAACAATCTGATTAAAAAATGGGCAAAGGACCTGAACAGATACTTCTCCAAGGAAGACATACACAGGGCCCTGAGGCATATGAAAGGATGCTCAGCATCACTAGCCATCAGAGAGATGCAAATTAAAACCACAACGAGATACCACTTCACACTGGTCAGAATGGCCATCATAAACAAACCAACAAACAGTAAGTGCTGGGGAGGTTGCGGAGAAAAGGGAACCCTAGTACACTGCTGGCTGGAATGCAGACTGGTGCAGCCACTGTGGAAAACAATGTGGAATTTCCTCAAAAAACTAAAAATGGAATTGCCTTTGACCCAGCAATTCCACTGCTGGGATTATACCCTAAGAATCCTGAAACACCAGTTCCAAAGAACCTATGCACCCCAATGATCAGAGCACCACAATTTACAATAGCTAAGTGCTGGAAGCAACCTAAGTGCCCATCAATAAATGAGTGGATCAAAAAACAATGGTCCATTTACACAATGGAATACTACCCAGCTGAAAGAAAGAAAGAGCTACTACCCTTCGCAACAGCATGGATGGAACTGGAGAGCATTATGCTAAGCGAAAAAAGCCAGGGGGTGAAAGACAAATACCATATGATATCGGTATAAGTGCAACCTAATCAACAAAACAAACAAGCAAGAAAAATATAACTCGCGACATTGAAAGAAAGAACAAACTGACAGTAAGGAGAGGGGAGGAAGGATGAGAGGTAATGGGGAAAAGAAGGGGAAGGATCAAGTCAAAAAACATGCATAAAGGATCCATGGACAGAGCCAAAGTGGGGAGGGATTGAGGGTGGGAGGTGGGAGTAGGTGGGGCAAGGGAAAGTGTTGTCAGGAAAATGGAGACAAATGTATTTGAGCAATAAAATAATAAAAAAATAATAAAAAAAATAAAAAAAATAATATTTCCACTCTGGGAAAAAAAGAAAAAAAAAACAAAACAAACCCAAACCTGAGAAGTAGGAAATAGAAGGCAGGACCAAATATTAGGTGTGAATGAGGTGCCAAGCAGATAGATTTCAATATCTTAACTCAATCTCAGTTTTGAATAAGAAGAACTTTTAAGATATTAATTTAACTATTGAATATTACAAAAAAAGTTTACAGATAGTGTCAAAGGCAAGCCTCAATACTTAGTACCTAATTAGAAACTGGGGCAAAAGCATTAGGCTTGAGAGGCTGTGGGAAGACCTTTGACCCCTGGCAGAGGTTTCTGGTACAAGCTGTGCCATACAACACTGATGAGCTTTCACAGAACCTGTTCAGCTGAGCTGTTAAGATAACTAAATAACTGTATACACAGCTTATTTTAAACTTACTTCAAATATTATCAGTATCTTCTTACAAGTTATTTATTACATGGCTATGTTTTGGTATAAAAATTTAGCTTTATTGTAAGGAGGTATGATTTACACATCTATCTTTCCACAAAAGCCTGTTTTCTAAGAGAAACAGGCTGTTCTGTGCTGCCAAAAGGAATGAAAGTTCCATCAATGGGAGACCAAAGAATGTGCTAAGGGAACTTACTATGCAGATTCAAAGACTGCCCGAGTCTGCTTGGACACATCTGGAATTGAGACTGCAGGGCAGGCCTCCTTGGCTCCTTGTTCTATGTTCTTATGGCTCATGGGTGTGCACACCAAACCCCAGGGGCAGGGCACTGCCCATAACACTGGCCACACAGGCTATGCACTGCACAACTCCAGGGATATTGCTCACAAGCTATGATGAGAGTGACATCCCCTGGAGCTCAGCAACCCAGTGGTCCCATCCATGAGGATGTGATACCCAGCAAGGAGCTATCCAAATGTCACAGGAGAAATCTCCTCCTTCAGAAATTTTAATTATATCAAAATGTAAGTATTACATGATACTTTTATCTTTAAAAAAATTAAAAATATGTTGTTGGTTTTAGAAAAGATGATGTAGGGGTGGGAGAGAGGGAGAGAGAGAAATCGATGTTAGAGAGAAACAATGATTGGTTTGGTTTCCCCCCATACACACCTGAGCTGGGGATTGAACCCACAACCTAGGTGTGTGCAATGACCAGCAAATGAATGCCCACCTTTTGGTGTATGGGAAAACACTCCAACCAACTGAGCCACACTGGCCAGGGCCAAGATATTTTTTATATCTAAATGAAGATGGCTTGGCTATATTTTGTTTATATACATGGCATTTAATATAAGACTCACATCAGCTAAAATATTAGACTTCCAAGAAGCTTCAAGCTTTCAGTGGGCCACTTGGGGCTACATCCCCAGATCCCTGGGCATCAGCTTCTGCTGTTAAGGCTACATCTGTGAAACACACATTTATTCTCTGACATATGGAGAATAATAAACTATCATTATAAATTAAAAATTATTATTGATTGTCATGCTTATCAGTACAACCAGGATGAATCTGGGCATTCTGAACTTGGCCCATGCATTTATAAAACTATACAATTGTGAAGAGTTGGAAACATTAAATGCTAAAGTTACTCTTTCTTTAGTAGCTATACCCAACCCTCTGTAAAAACTGATGTCAGTTAGATCAATAATAATATTAAGTGTTTATATTTGTTGAGTTCTGCTATTATTCATTTGGCAGTAAGCCAAGTCAATTTGCATTGATAATTATTTAAATTCATGTTGCTAACTGGGGAGAAAATTATTTGTAAATCACACATCTTGAATTAAGAATCTTTTAATCACAAACCGTATATTTTGTCACACAATGCAAAACCATGCAACCCATAAACTCAAGTTGTGGTACATAGTAGATGAAACTTACGAAATGAAATGTACATGCTGATGACATTCTTGTAAAAAATATGCAAATACATATATACAAAAATACTAAAAGGACATATGCCCAAATATTGAAATGTTTATCTTTGAATGAAAGTTTATTTTTTCTTTTTTCTCTTTTGTGCTTTTCTGTATTTTCCAAATTTCTTGCATTTAGCATTTTTTACTTTGGTAATTTAAAAAGAACTATAATTAAACAAGTGAATATTAGCCAGGTATTAGAAATATTTTTGGATAGGAAAAAGTATATACAATTATACCTGTGAATAAGACGTCTCCACCATCTAAGGTTGCATTTTCATCTTTCATCTCTATTATATTGAGCTGAAGTTTTTCTAATGCTTCTTTCATCATGTCAACCTGTTGAAAATGATTCAGATTAATACCTTACCATTTTCTAAAAAGAAAATCAATCATCTAAAACTTCTGAACACTGAATTATGCTCCCATGTGCAAACACACACACACACACACACCCCCTTGTGAATATATGAATATATGTAGTATACGGCAGGCTATGTCCATAAAGTATCCAGCCATGTACTATGAAAAATAGAGACATTTATTGAAGAAGATGCAACATACAAGAAACATTGTACATAGGACAACGATGCCTCTGTACCCTTCAAAGTAGGCACCTTGGGACTTCACACAGTTCTCCCAAGTGCAGCATGAAGTTCCTTCTGCTCTGATAGCAGAGCCACGGAACTAGCTTTGCCATGGCACATTTCATGCCAAGATCCTGCGTCAAAATCTTGGGCACAATAGTTTTTGGAATCCCCAGATTAACTTCTGGTTCTCTCACTGTCAGTCGCTGATCTTTGTCGATTGCAACCCGTACACAGTCAACATTCTCAGGTGTTCTGCTTACTGTAGGCCTTCCAGAATGTGGATCACTTTCAACAAACTCTTGAACATCTTTGAAGCATTTGTGCCACACCTTTATTTGTGCTTCTGTCATTGCATCATCCCAGAAAGCAAATCATCTGAATAGTTTCCACGGAGGAATGGTCAAGCTTAACACAAAATCTGATGCAGATTCATTGCTCTATTTGCTCAGTCATTTTGAATGTGCTGGCCACACAGTACACATGTTCTCTCAGTGGCATCTACCACTCCCACTGACTAGCACAGTGAAGTTGTCTGTTCATGCATGGGCATTCCAGTCCACTCTCCTTAGCTGCCAGGTTACATGAACGTGGCGCAAACTGTTCTTGTTATATTAACAATGGCTGGGCTTTTTCCAGACAGACTTCGTAGTTTGGACCACCACAGTCATTTGCAAAAGAAGAAATTGTCCATTTTGTCCTCCTCTGGTTTAAACATAAGTCAATACTATAGTCCCTTTTTCTGTTGGGAAGGCAGCTACTTAGGACACTGTTGGAATAGCGACTAGTTAGGGCACATGAGTCAAGAAAGGTGGGAGGCAGAAGAGCCAGTCCTTCTACCCTTGCCAGAAAGTACAAGATTTACTTTTAAACATTAAGTAACTCTGTAAGAATTGCACACACACAGAGTAATATGTGGAAGGAGTATCAATGTCAATAACCAGTTCCTTGAAAACTTAGCCGAAAGAACAGTCATGATTTTGTATTCAAATATTTCCTAAAAATGTCAGAACATCTAAAGCTTCTCTGTAAATCTAAACTGTTATTTAAATTTAACCTAGGTCCCTAGAGGTGATTAACAAATACCATAATTGCAATCAAACCAAAGAATACTTGAAAATGAATTTTAGGGACTGTCTGTAATTTCAGGCTATAGTCTCAAGAGCAGAGATATTCTGGGATAAACTAGGGAACACTTTTAGTGAGGTCTACTTTAATACAAGAAAACAACTTAAGACATAACAAATGCCCCTCGAAGTGCACAATTTAATTCTAGTCCTTCCCATGGCTCAGCAAAACAATTTAAATATTTCTGGAGGTCTGTATAACCTTTAACATGGTAAAGACATACATGGAGAAGACATGAACAGGGTTATGGGAAAAACAAGAGATCATATGACATTGAGAAAAGTAGGTAGTTCTACCAAAATACATGCCCAGTTCACACAGTGAGTTGTCAATGAAGAGTTTAGGAGACATAAATATAGCAGAGTAACCTCTAAAGTAATGAAAATATGGAAATCCTTTGACAACAAGCCTGATACTCACATAGTTAAAAAAAAAGAAAAGGATACAAAATAAAATAAATGTATCATCTCATCCTTGTCCTGGAACTCATGTAAAAATTCCACAAACCAGAGTGACTCAGAACAATAAAAATTATTTCCACAGGTGAAGCAGTCTTAAAATGTTGTAATAAATACGTCTAGTAACTTCTTTTAACAGTGGCATAGGTTTTGCTATGTATCAGGACGTGGAAATCATTGCTATAGCATAAAAAAGAAGCAAAACAATATTTACCACGAGTTGCTGGGCTGCAGCGAACCCAGGAAAACACACAACCATTTCCTTCTGTCACCTGCGCCTGTCTATGGAAAATTCATTCCGCTTAGAGAGATCATGAGAACTGAGCTACTGTTACCTTTTGTTTCTATTAAGAATGCTATTGCTTCTGTTATAACAACATTTCAAAGATTACTAGGAATTCAACAGTAACATATTTTGGTGTGAAAAGTTTAATATAATATCTCAACTCAGGAACTCTATTCAACTCTTATGAGCTTTAAAGAGAACAGAAGCAGGGAAGCTAACGTATATACCAGTTTCACGAACACTGTATTTCTTAAAAAGTCCTATGTCTTTCGAATTAAAATTTTAGAGGATAAAATACTTGTGGTTTCTTAAAAGTTAAAACAGCTGCATTGACATTAAAAAACTGGCTTTTGTGCAAGGACAGTACTTTTTAAAAATATTCATTCATAACGGGGAAAAGAAAGGGAAGGGTCAAGTCAAGGAACATGTATAAAAGACACATGGACAAAGCCAAAGTGGGGAGGGAGTAAGGGTGGGAGGTTGGGGTGGGTGGGGCAGGAGAAAGTGGTGGTGGGAAAATGGAGACAAATATACTTGAACAATAAAAAAATAAACAAAAAAATTAGTGGAAAAAATATTCATTCACATCTATATAAACAAAGTCAATGGGATAGGTCCATAGAACAAACACTGATGATGCTCTATTGCTTTCAGAGTTAAGGGTATGGACAAGTAAAAAAATAAATATTGAAGGTCAAGTAAACAGTTTTGAGACTTGCAGGACTATCGGGCATCAAATCAGCAATGCTAACCACTGGGAGATTTCTGAAGAAGAAACAAGAGAGGCTGAAGCGGAGGCTGTCCATGGAGAACTGCATTCTCTTGGCCCGGGGGCACCATGAAGCCGACCAGCTCGGCTGTAAACAAGGCCCAGTGTTGCCCTGACACAGGCACCCAAAGGAAGCCAGCTACTCTGGCAGTTAAAACACCAAATATAACTACAGACGTGGGAATTTTTGCAGGAAAAGATCCAAACCGTGAGCCTTCAGAACTGCCCATTCTGTGGTTACATAGCCATGGCTAATGTTGACTTAATTAACTTTCAAGAGAGAAAAAAAAGACCAAACAACACACCCACCTTTCACTGAGACACCTTACAGAGTGGGATTTAGCATTACTCAGAATGGGGAACCCTGTCAGAACAAACAGTATTAATTCCAAAAGCTGAGTTGAATGGGTCAGGTTAGCCCATTAAATTAGAAATAAAACAGGTAAATTAGAGAAATGACCTTAATTAATCAAAAAATTAGCCATGTAATTTCCATACTCTAAAAATTTATAAGACATTTCTTCCTTCCCTTTTCACTTTATATGTTTTTTTCATCTTTTTTTACTTGTATTTCTTTTTTTTCCCATCTTTTCTTCTCCTACCCTTTGCTACAGATTCCTTCCCTGGCCACAGCGACTTCAGGTGACCTCTGCGATTTCTATTCACCCAACTCACACATCTTTCTTTCCAAGAGCTGGTACTAGTTTTGAGGTAATTACCTTTTTCTTTTTTTCTTCCCTTCCCCCATTGTCTTCTGGAGTACTAATGTCAAAAAATGCAGAGTTATTGGTTACACACTCAACATCCCACCACTGAAAATGCCTGTAGAGTGTAGTGTTAAGACCAAGGGCCTGGCAGCTCGGCTACTTACGAGCCAAATGACCTTAAGCTGTCAAACTTTCTGAACTTCAGTTTTCTTGTTAAAAATGGGTGGTTAATCATAATGGTACCAACCTCCTAGGCTCCTCCTGACCATTAAGTACATGTAAAGCATTTAGTACATAGTAATTACTCAATAAACATTGGATAGCTCTCTTATTTTGATGAATACCAGCTTGTGTGCACCCAGTGACAAATACTTGTACTATGAAACTGACCCACAGGAGAATATGGTTTCTTTTTCTCTTTACCTTTGGACAAGTTTCTTAAGTTTTCCCATCTCATGACAGACCTCATCTGCTTTCCAGTAAATTAAAATTAGTCTTTTCTGTAAAGCCAATGTAGAGTTACAGCACACACACTGAGGACACATTTAAATTTAAATCATTCCAATTTGATTTCCTTCCAGCTCCTGGAGGCTGTCAGGTTATTCCTTGTACATCTCTGCTTTGAAATAGCTCCTGAAAGTACAACATAAGGTGGGAAGTGGGCCTCTCTGGTAAGATGTCCTGCAGGACTCAAGGGTGTCAACCAAAATGATAGATAATGGTTACAGTTACTAAAGGCATTACTGCTCTAAAGGACTTGGTCTAAAGAATTTCTCCTCTTCCTTAATGCCTAGCCTCCCTTTCTTACCTTCTCTGCTCTACTCAACTCTTGCCTTCTTTATGGCTCTCATTTTTGTTCCTTATTTGTCCTATCACATTTACATCATTATCCCCTCTTCTCATTTCACTCCTTTTGGGTTCTCATGGGGAATAGAAAGAACTGGGGGTTTGAATACAGTTTCTATTACTTCTTAGCTATGTAATTTGGAATGAGTTAACCTCGGTTTCCTAGTCCGAAAATGAGATAATGTTTTCCCTCTAACGGGGATTATGTGGGTAGCAAATAAGCTAATACATGAAAGGTACCTAGTTCAGTACCTGGCACATTATGATCAAAACCAGTAGTTGCTAAAAACAAACAAAAAAACAAATGAACAAACAGAAACAATCAAACAAACCAGTAGTGGTTGATACTGTTATTATTTTGTCCTAAATTAACTCAGTGCTTGGTTTGGATTGTTTTTGAAAAGAAATAAAAGATAAAAGCATACCCATATGCTGCATTAAATCAATCATCTTTTATTCCCAATTTTCCTGTTCCTCTTGCAAACTTTCCCTCCCAAACAATATACCAAAACAAATATAAAACTTTATACATTTTTCTTGGGGAAGCTATAGTCAAAA